TTAAACCTATAAATCAGGTATCAAAGAACGGAGTATTCAAATAAAGCATCCTTGGTATCTCAAATTTAATGACCAGATATATAATTTGGGCTATGGACTTACTATCTAACAATAAGATATCATTAACTATCTAACATTCTGTAAACAAATCATTCAATGAACTCATTCTCGAATGAGCACCTGCAATATATCCCTAATTTTCACATAAGTAGCTATGAGACCAGTTGCCTCCATCATATGAATGAGTATATAGTACACTGGTATATCCGATTACCTTAATGTCCTGTTGAGAAACCTTAGAGAGCATAACATGCACAACGAAAAATTAAAACAAAAGTCGTTCTCAAAACATATCTCATCGGATCACCTTGTAACAACCGAGAGCATAAAACTTGAAGTAATAAAGCTGTATCAATAGATTGAGATATTATCACATAGGGGGAGATCATATATACCCTAAATAGCATATCTTGGTCCCTGGGATAAAGGAGGTCTCGCGAACTTCTTTATAGTGGTAATCTACACGGCGGATGCAACAATGATGCACCTCCTCGCATAGTAAGTTTTTTCCTTGTAATTGCACACCACCATGCGATAACAGTCAAAAGAGAGGTCAACCCTCTTGTTGTCCTCTCACAACAGGGATGGGCTCATAATTGAGAGAAAGATGAGGAGGAGGAGAGAGGAGATTGATGGCTATAGGGTCTAGCTTATGATTATTTTGAACCCCAACTCCTATTTATAAATAACTTCCTTTATTAAACCCTAATGGATCATTCTTAGTGTGTATTATATCCTCATCTAATAACCATTAGCTTAATGGATATTAGATCTCCATCCAATAACCACTATAAGCTTTATTGGGTCTCACTCAATAGATCCATTAAAATAGGGCCTTATTGGATATCACATATTCAATTCTTTATTCATTGTATTGTCCAGTATATGTGTGTGATCCTCTAGGCCTAATACTGAGCTAGCTGTGAGTTGCACATATTAGAACCTCTTCTAACTTAGAACTCCTTCTAACTTAATGAATTATTATTCTTACTATGTCATAGTCCCCAAGCGATACAGGATGATATAAAATCCATTGGATATGTCTACCCTCAATTACTGTGTGTCACACCCCCCAAATTAATATATTCGAGAGGCATGAACCTATATTGAATCAAGAATACTATAATTCATCAACAATCCAATCCAAGATCTAAACTAATATTTGAGGACACTAAAAAAACATTCAAATCAAAATTCACATCCATAAAACCAAAACCAGTACAGTTTATAATCATACACCACATCACTCAAACATTTATGAAAATTTTTAATCCAACTTAACAAAATATCAACCACACTATTAAATTTACAAGCCTAAGACTGAACTCCAACCTTTTATCATAAGTGTATATCATCGTAAAACTAAACTTAACATTATAAAATTTCAAATGTGAGAGGTCTTTTGAAGCTTTTACATGATATATCATTCTAAATTAATCGAGCAAAATATACTTATACAACAATAATATAATATAATATTATTATATTTGACTCGTATCGGTAAATAGACTTAATATAATATTATTATATTTGTTAGACTTATTAGTCTATTTTAAAATTCAGAGCAATGTGTAAAATACTTTTCAAAACTTTCATAATACAATTGGGTAAAATTATTTTAAAATAGTTTTTATTTAATTAATTTTATTTTAAATTTTTATATTTAACTAGATAAAATATATTATAGACCTAATTGAATTCTGATTCTGATTATTTATTAATAAAAAAGGAATTTATTTATGATTAGATTCCTCAAAAGATTATAATAAAAGAGACTTTTCTAATTACCATCCTAGCTTTTGCCTATAAAAGAATAGAATGGACAAACTATCTGAAATTAAATTACAGATTTATTCTTAATCTTTTATAGTCCATATTTCATCTGATGATGTCATAAGTATCATCAATTAGTGAGTTCGAACGGTTGGTCCACAGTCGAAAGTGTAGTCCTACACTTGTCTTTTCCTAGCTGACATGGGAGACTGTGAGATAAGACCACATAGGCGGTCCAGTTGGAAGTCATTCTATTACTAAGGACTTGGTTCAAGATAACTAGGTAGGCGATCTGGGATATTCCTGGTTGCAAGGTTCCTACATAGGGTTGGGTCATATATGTGTCCTCGAGCGGAGGATAATCTTGTGGCTTCATGACTACATCATAACAGTGGGGTCACTTCCTGACCATCGGTGTTCTTGCATGACAGGCCAGTAACAAGAGCTGTTGTCACGACCCCTCCAATGTTTAAGTCAACAATGGAAAAAAGACAATAGTGTAAGTTATAACCCTCGGCGTCAGCCCCTCCGATGCTTAAGTCAGCGAAGCGAAGAAGATAACAGTGTAAGCTGTATGACTGAGTTAGTGTATAGAGAGTCCCCTCCTCAGCATGAGTTTATGGGTTCCTTTTGATACTTGATCCTTAAGCCTTATTACTAGTTAGCCTGAGATAAGATTAGGTGAATCACCTGATTATTTTCTAATCTTGATAAAGTAGGACGATTATTGTCGGTCATTGATTCGAGACATATCGGGATGCTTTGAGGATGTCATTTTGAGACCGATGACTTAAAGCATTATTTAGGTGTTAGTCTCTTTGGCACATGAGTTAGCATGGGGCAAAATCATTCCTATCATTCTCCTTGCATATTAGTATTATTATTATTTTTAAATCATGCGATGGTGTATTTATAAATAAATATATATGTGTGTGTGCGTGCGCGCGCATGTAAAGAAAAAATATCAAGATTTGTTTAGAAATTTAGAAAAATAATATATAAAAATTTTTATTTATCTCTCACATCAAATTCCCATTACTCTTTTCTTTTTTTTTCTTATTAAATTATTTTCCATTTAAGATTAGATACACTTGATAAGTTACCAAAGAATAATATCTTCATTAATGATATTTATCATTAGTATTTATTTATAGGTTTTGTTAATCTTTATTATTTTGATCTAATACATAGGTAGGTAATAATCAAGAATATAATCGTTACAAAAATAATTTTTTTAAAAAGGATAGTTGTTGAAGAGGAAATTGGATAAATAAAAATAATCAATTGTCACCACCCAATCTCTTTGATGATTTAATTCATTACATCACGAAAGAAAATAAATTTCTATTGTACAAAGGGTAAGGTAAAGGGTCAAGATGTGATTCGAATCCATAATTTTAATTTTTAACAAAAATAGAAAAGATGTGATTCCAATATAGAACAATATGGGAAACTGTTTTCCATATCTTTTCTTTAATCTTTAATAAGTAGATCTTAAAAAATAAAAAAGTTTCTCAATCAAGAAAATGGACAGTCATTTGGAGTTATCTAAATGAAGTCAAAAAAAGAAATTTCCAAATATGATCGGGTGGTGGGTTGGTCATTTGAACTTAATGAACTTTGGGTTGGTCATTTGAACTTATCTAAATGAAAAAACAAATAAAGACTTCCAAATATGAATGGGCAGTGGGTGGGAGGGTTTGGAGATTTCGTAAATTCATGTAATAGTCTTCTTGCTATTAGGGCTAACTATAAATTATTTTTTATAATTAATTATCTTTAGTATTCTGTTCTGTATATTTTTAAAAATTATATTAAGATTTTTGAAAGTAAAACATTGAGATCCGTATATAGAGTTAAAAAAAATAATTTTATAAGATTAAAAAAATAAAAAAAATTATTGAAGTAAGAAGATTAAATATTATAAAAGATCTTAATATAATTTTTAAATTATTGACTTTTTTTTATTTATGTCGTATAATTAAAGAAATAATTAAAATTATTTTTCATTATATAAATAAGTTAAAATTTCAATTAATTTATTCCTAATGAGTGATGTAATTTTTAGAAAGTAAATAGTTCAAATTCTATGAATCATAAGAAATAAATATTATAATTTTATTTTTATATATAAAAATAAATTTTAAAAAAATTAAATTATTACTTATCTTGGGAGCAGAATTTTTCTTATATAAATCGAGATCCTTTTCATCATTCTTCGTTTGAGTCTAGAGAATTGAGAAAAGAATTCCGAGGAGAGGTTTGTTATCAATTTTTATTTATATTTTCAGATTTTTGATATTAGAATTATTATAATTTGTATGATGCATAATAATATTTTAATTTTAAAAATTTTATTATTTTAAAATAATAAAATCTGATTTAGTAAGAGAGATTTTAAATATTAATGTGATTGTTATCATATAATATATATAACTACTCGAGTTGTCCACGTCGAAGGTATACTTAAAGAGATAAAAGTCCGCAAAGCTATCAGTGCACATACTTCATATATCAAGTATTATTCTTGGTAATATTTTATTATATTATTTTTTATATAAATATAAATAAATGATTGTGATTGTCTATATATCTTTGTTAAGAATAGGTAAAACGATTTTTTTCAGGGTTAGCTGACCGTTAGTTCCTTTATTTGTTAATAGGAGATACATATCGTCACTTAGACAAGTGAAAAATATTATTTCATCTACGATTTGGAGTACAGTTTCCAAAATTTATCTTGTATAACAGTTTCCAAAATTTATCTTGTATAATATGTCTTTCCATCTATTATTGAAGAAGTATACTACCAAGTGTATGTTATTTGATTATTATATAAACGAGATGCGTTGCATGTGATTGATGTTCGATTTTATTTATTATATAATAATAATTATTATTTTTAATATATAATTTTTTTAATTATTACTAACATATAATTATTAATTAATCTTTTATATTTATTTTTAAAATAATTTATTACTTTGTAATACATTTGAGTTTTGGGTGGAGAACTTCTTTTTTTTATGATCCGATATATTTTTTAATTAAAAATATTTAATAAAGTTAAAAAAAATAAAGATTTAAATTTAAATTGTTTTTATAAAATGAGAAATAATGAACTGATAATTTATTTTTTTTAAATCTCGGATGCGAAAGAGCGAGCGTCGATCGGCTAGGACGATGCAGGTCAAGTCCGGCTACGGCTCCGACGGGGTCTACCGCTCGCTCCGGGCGCACATCGCCTTCCCCGACGACCCCGACCTCTCCATGGTCCCATTTTTCTTCCGCCGGGCCGTCGCGTACCCCGACCGCCTCGCCCTGGCCGACGCCGACACCGGCGCCTCCCTCTCCTTTCAGGCCCTCCGGTCCGCCGTCCTCTCCGCTGCCGCCGGCTTCTCCTCCCTCTGCGGCATCCGCAAGGGCGACGTCGTCCTCATGTTCGCCCCCAACTCCCTCCACTTCCCCGTCTCCTTCCTCGCCGTCGTCTCCTTCGGTGCCATTGTCACCACCGTCAACCCGATCTACACCGGCCACGAACTCGCCAGCCAGGCCCGCGATGCCGGCGCCAAGCTCGTCGTCACCACCCCGGAGCTCTGGCCCAAGGCCGCCGCCTTGCGCCTCCCCACCGTCATCATCGGCCCCAGCGGCTCCCCCTTGTCCCCTCCCCCCGAGACCCCCGTCACCTTCTTCGACGACCTCGTCGCCAACTCCGATCCGGCGGGGTTCTCGCCGCCGCCGGTGTACCAGTCGGACGTGGCGGCGCTGCTCTACTCATCGGGGACCACCGGTACGAGCAAGGGCGTCGTGCTGACCCACCGGAACTTCATCTGCACCGCCATGATGATGACGGCGGATCAAGATTTTAGGGGGGAGGGGCAGAACACCTTCCTCTGCTTTCTGCCCATGTTCCATGCAGCCGGCCTGTCACCGATCACCTACGCCCAAATGCAGAGGGGCAACAGCATCGTGTCCATGTCCAGGTTCGACATGGAGGCGATGTTGAGGGCGATCGAGAAGTACAGGGTCACGCACTTCTATTGCGCGCCGCCGGTGATGATCGCGCTTGCTAAGCAGGGGAAGGTGACCAAGTACGATCTCAGCTCGGTGAGGCTTGTGGGTTCTGGCGCAGCGCCTTTAGGGAAGGATATGATGGAAATAGTCGCTAACAACTTGCCTCACGCCGACATAGTGCAGGTATCATCCGGACCTTTTTGCATGAACTCCAATTATACTGGTGAAGTTAGATAAACTGTATTTATTTCAATTATACTGGTTCTATTATGCATTCTGAAAATTTTAAAGATATCTTATGCTATGCTTTCGAATTTTATCATAAATAAATATTTATTTAAAATAAATAAATTCTTTATATATTTAACCTATGCTTTCGAAATATGCATAAATATTAAGTACTTTCTTTATGCTTATATAATTTACAAAACATCAATTTTATATGTATTTCAAATCATGATTTTCTAACAATATCTTTTAAAGCATAATAAAATTTAAATGTATTTTCATAATGAAAGTATAAGCAGTTGCTTGTCAAGGCATAAAACATAAAACATTATAGTGCAAAGACTATCATTAAATTTTCAAAATAAGCATAAATATTACTAAGGCTTCTATAGATAAATATAACTAAAATATATATGCCAATACAGAAGTCGTAGTATTGTCAATGACTACAACCACATTATATCTCCATGACAAGATCTAAAACTATATTTAACCCTCATAGTATAGGTAACACATATCGCCCTGTATCTAAAAGAAACTAGTTTCTAAATAAGTACCAATGTATAACCTCTGACTAGACAACTACCATTATAATAAAAATAATATATCGATGACTTTTTTACAAAATAAGAAGTTTTAACAATTCTTTTTTTTTATATCATTTCGAAGCTGATGCAATTATATATTATTTAAAATTAATATATTCTTCAAAGAATGGATTTTTTTATAAATTATATAATATAAATAAATAAATATTTGTAACATAGCAAGTGGTGGGAGGCGATTCAATTAAGTCCCTATAAATTTTGTATTTACAACTAGGTCCTAGAATTGAATTTTGGGATATTACATTTTGAGCTTATCTAGTTAGTTTTCTCCTAGAATTGAATTGTGCTTTAATATTCACACTGAACTAATTTCTAATGCTAGAATAAGTGTTATTTTCTGGAATAGTCCAGTAAATTGCAGTGTAAATATAGTCTCACATGTGAAGAGTAGCATTCTGAATTATATAATCTGCAATTGTTGTGCACACTATTGCCATTAACAATTAACCTCAATAATGCATGCCAAAATTTCAAATTTCCACAAGCCATCCTAATTTATAATTATCATTGCTCCACATTTATATTATAAATTCCACTTGAAATGCATTAGTTGGTCGATAAGCTGATCACTGTATACGGTACATGTTATTGTTCTAATTAATAATGAATGCTGCTGCTCTTGCTAGAGCATGATAAATTTCTTTGCCTAGAATATAATGAATGAGTGGAGTATTATTATTGGTGCTTTCCATTGGAGAGAAGACAAACACAGGTACAGGAGTGACTAAATATATTTGATTGTTTGCTTTTGTGTTCCAAACAGGTATATGGTATGACAGAGACTTGTGGACTCATATCGCTAGAAATTCCTGCCCCGGGTGAGGTTCGTGATTTTGGTTCTGTTGGAACAATGGTGTCTGGAATGGAGGCTAAAGTTGTCAGTGTAGACACATTGAAGCCTCTACCACCTAATCAATTAGGCGAATTGTGCTTCCGTGGACCAAACATAATGCAAGGTAAAATCTTGTCACAGTGTAGGTAAATTCTCCTAAACTCAGCAAGAGTAAAGTTCCACTAGTTGTTGATTCAAAGTTGTCATGTTCTTTTACCTTTATGCTCTTTATCAATGATCTTTATATCTATGGAAAACCATTATCAAAATTACCTAACCATCAGGAGTTTAAATGTTACCTTACATGTAGCATGATATAGTTCTAGTTCTCCTTCAGCTCCTACTTATTCTGCAAAATGACTGCAGGTTACCTTCAAATTTTGTGACATCATTGATCATGAACTTCATTTGTTGCTATTCTTTTTTTTCTTTAAAGATAATTTCAAGATAATTTCTTTGAGAAACATATGATGGATAAGGTCTCTGTTATTTTTAACCTATGTTTTAATTTCTATTATTGTACATTGCTGCTGCTGCTGAGTGCATTGTTGCAAACTTCTTCAGGGTATATTAACAATCCACAAGCAACAAACTTGACTTTGAAAGATGGATGGTTACATACCGGCGATCTTGGCTATTTTGATGAAAAGGGACAATTGTTTGTCGTTGATCGAATTAAAGAACTCATCAAGTACAAAGGTCATCAGGTAAGCTTTTAGTATCAAATTCATGTGTTGTGTCATGTTCAGTGTGCAACTGGAAACTTAGATCTGGAGTTGCAGATAATTTTGTGTTTAGTAGACTAGGCTGTCACTATGATCCAGTAGCACATAACTGTATAATAAAAAAAAGAAACTGTTTCATTTTTGGTTGCATAATATAATCTTACTTCCCTGAGGAAAATGAAACGCATTAAGAGCCTATCCAAAAAGTTGAAGAAACTGAAGCAATAGTAAGTACTTTGGATGCAGAAATGATTTGATGATTAGTCTCTTGCTTACTAAATGTAAACTTTGTTTATTGTTAGTTCCCTTTTATGTCAAAAACTCAGTTTTGTATTTATTTATTATTTTGATAGGTTGCACCTGCTGAACTGGAGGGATTGCTTCTTTCACATCCTGAGATATTAGATGCAGTTGTTATTCCGTAAGTCGGAAATTGTAATGCAACTTCTTTTTCAGTCTCCTCTCGGAGACAGCATCGAGCAGATTCAGATGCACTTGTGGTTAATCATTGCATTACGCGGTTAATTTCAGACTGCAAAATTCCAACAATTCTTTATGTTTCTCATTCAGGTTTCCTAACGCTGAAGCTGGAGAGGTTCCAATTGCTTATGTGGTCCGATCTCCTAATAGTTCATTGACTGAAGAAGATGTCCAGAACTTCATCTCGAAACTGGTAACACTGAGTGTCTATTTTCACTTTTATTCTTTTTTCCATATACTGCAGAGTGAGTATACAATTTTTCTTTTTTTGTAAAGAAAGAATCCTACAACAATTAAAATATTCCTTTAAAAAAGAGTACACCAAAAAGATTAAAAGACTTCCTTATTCTTTTAGCCCTTTTGACACCTTCCTATATGGTACATTTAATATGAATATAGCTGAAATGAACTCGGTGGCAATGGATTCCTAGTGGGGAGCTAAACTCGTTGTATTAAATGACATAAACATCTGTAGGGTCGGAAGATCTATGTGTGAATCTTGACTTAGTTGTAGGATGAGTTGTTGATCACATTATTTTACTTGCTTATGACAATCTTACTCTGTTTTAGCTATAAAATCGTTTTGTTTCATCATAAATGGTTTCAGTTGTTCTGTCACTTAAAAGATCCACCATTTATTTGTCAGCAAAGTCTAAAGCATCTCATTTCTTTCAGGAGTGTGTTAAGACTTAGAACAGGACAAATCCAAAGAACTTAGCAATCCAATTATCGTTCAAAATTTCCCTTTCATTTTTTCTTTTTTAAACCCGGTTTTCCATGTTGCAAATGTCTTTCTGAGTCATTTTTGTCTCGCATCAACAGGTTGCACCTATTAAGAGGTTGAGAAGAGTTACCTTTGTCAACTCTGTACCCAAGTCTGCCGCAGGAAAAATACTAAGAAGAGTGCTGATTGAGAAGGCAAGATCAAAGTTGTAGAGGGTGTTACTTCCCTCGTAACATTTATCCCAGGTTGGAAGTGAGAGATTTCCTAGTGCAATTTCGTCGGCTACATAGCAATGAGATTTCCTCGACTGCACGAGAAAATTTCGTTGGAGAAAAATCCTCTCTTTCATTATGTATAAATATATATTATATGACATTAATTGAGATGTGTTTTCTTTTTATCTTTATAATTTCATTCTTCATTCTATCATTTTATTGTGGCATTAGAGCAGTAAGAAGAGAGGTGCAAACCTTCGCCTTCGACTAACGACCATCATCGTTGCAGCCACATTCCCAAGCGAGACTTCGCGGCCAGTCCTCATCTTCTTCATCGCGGCAGTCTTTGCTGATCTGCCACAATAGTCTGCAGTCTTCGCTCATCTTCCCAAGGGGACGCCTGTGCCCTCAACAATCTACATGCTGGGCGGTCCGACGCTCTCCTCTACGTATACGTACAGTTGCGCCATGCACAGCATCGCGTGGATCGCTGCTACGTACACGAACTCAAGCCACCGCAATCACCCACCTCTCACCTCCCACCTTCCACCTCTGTCAGTGCACCGTCATTGAACCGTTGCTCCAGACCTGATCTGCTTCCACAACCATCGAGCAACCCTCTTTGTGGACCTGGTCGCCAGAACCCTCTCGCTAGGCACCATCGACCAGCTCCTGGCTATCCTCGCAACATCGTCCTCACTACTTCCGGTGGCATCCTGTGGTAGCGTTTTGATCTTCCTACGGACACGCTCGTGCTGGGTCACGTCTTGGTCCTGGAGAGGACCTTGTCTTAGTGCAGGCCTACCATCCCTTTCTACTATTATCGAATAATCTTTGTAGTTCTCTCCCGCTGCCTCTAATCGGTGATCGGGGCAGCCACTACATCTTGCTCCACCTTCATCTCGACAAGCAGCATTTGGAATCTTTCCACACCACTTGTTGCACCACTGCATCGTTGCCCAGATTCCTAACTGCTGATCTACTACATAAAGATCTATAACTGTCTTACACAAAGCTAACCTTCTCCTTCAACAAAGACCTCGTTTGCCAACAACCTTCCTCAGGTGACACTGATCTGCACCACCACCACCTCTTCTTCCCTGATCATTGTTGTCGCTACAACCTTTTACCTACTTCCATATGTCCTCAATATCTACCTCTGATGCTCCAGTTATTGTTCCCGTAGGGAACCATAGTATTTTCCTACATACAAGCCTTATTTCCATCAATGCAGCAACTCTCATCCCCTTCAAATTATCCAAAGGTGGCAACTACGCATCCTGACGGCGGTGAATATCAAGCCCTCACATCCTATCTCTCATCCTGTGGCATCCAACACCTTAAGTCACCTTCACACACTCCTCAACTAGTTGGCTCTGTTGAACGTAAACATCGACATATCGTAGAAGCTAGTCTCACTCTTCTACATTAAGCCTCCATGCCAACCACTTTTTGGTATGTAGCTTTTTAAACCGCCACTTACCTTATTAATTGTATGCTCAATCCAGTCCTCCAATATCAATTATCATTTGGAAAACTATTTTCCAAATCTTATATTCTTTACAAACTCAGAATATTTGATTGTTTATGTTATCCATGGCTACGTCCCTATACACCACATAAGATCACACCAAGATCCAAGCCTTGCATTTTCATAGGATATTCTCTTGAACATAATGTCTTTCGATGCTACGATCTTAAAACTCAAAAAGTCTTTGTCTTCTGTTATTTTTATGGAGTCCGCCTTTTATATCCTCAGAAACACAACAACCTTCTTTACCTAGTGCCACTAATGTATCTTAGCCCAACCCAACCCATGTCAATACCTCTCCACCACTCATACCAATACCATAACTTACAACTCTTAAACATCCAATGATAACTCGCTCAAAAAGTGGTATCTTTAAACCACGTCAGGTTCTCGACCTACATGCTCTCATACAATCCTCTCCTGAGACCAATGAACCTACCACAATCACTTAAGCTAAAAAATCTCCACACTAGTGTAAAGCCATGCCACTGGCGTAAAGCCATGCGTGAAGAATATGATGCCCTACTTCATAACTCTACATGGACTCTTGTGTCATTTCATCCTATACAAAACATCATCGGGTGTAAATGGGTCTTTCGAATTAAGCGGAACCCAGACGGGTCCGTTGCTAGATACAAAGCCCGTTTAGTTGCCAAAGGGTTTCATCAACGACCTGGAGTTGACTTCACAGAGACTTTCAGCCTCGTAGTTAAATCTATAACAATTCGACTTATTCTAAGTTTGGCCATCTCCAGGGGCTGGCACTTACGCCAACTGGACGTTAATAATGCTTTTTTACAGGAGACTCTAACTGAAGATGTCTTTATGCAGCAACCCCCGGTTTTATTCATCACCAGTATCCGAGACATGTCTGCAAACTATATCAACTGGTTTTATCAACTCCAAGTCTGATACCTCTTTATTCTTACAATAACAAAATGGGAATACAATATATCTTCTAGTGTATATAGATGATATTATTGTCACAAGCAATGATACCTTAGAGATTCAG